GAGGAGACGGCGCGGGGGCTGTTCCGGCAGCTGCTCGAGGCCGTGCGGCACTGCACCCGCCGCGGCGTGCTGCACCGCGACATCAAGGCCGAGAACGTCGTCCTCGACCTGGCCACCGGCGAGGCGATGCTCGTCGACTTCGGCTGCGGCGCGTTCCTGAGGAGCGGCCTGTACACCGAATTCTCGGGTGAGCCCTCCTCCGCGGGCCCGGCTGGGCACCGGAGCTTCCCCCCTGTGCTGGGAATAATTCTTCAGCCGCGGGCGAGTTGCTTTTTGTCAGGGGAGGGGGCGGCCGTGGTGGGACGGGACGCGGCTCCCGGCCCTGCCGACAGCCTCGGGCACCCGGCCTGGCCCGGGCTGGGGCTGGTGCGGGGGCAACCAGCCCGACGAAAGCAAATCCCGCGGGGGTGGCGGGGGGGTCGCCAAACCCGTGCCCTGTCCGTTTTCCTTTGCCGGCACGGAAGGGCTCGGGCTGCTCCGCTCCCCTTTGCTGCCTTGGCCTGCGATAGCTTTCCTCGCCGACGCGGGGGGAGGGGATAAAGGCAGGGCCTGCCCTGCTCGTGCCTGGCTGTGTTCCTGGCAGGGAGAGCTTGGGCCTTCCCGGGCCCCTTTGGCCTCTTGCAGCACTGGGGGCTTTGGTTTACAAGCAGCCCCGTGTTTGTAAACAAATATCAGGTGCTGCGGAGAAGGCGTGGGGTCACCCCGTGTGCAGCCACCAGCTCAGCCCCTGCGGCCTCAGGGATGCCTGGGCAAGGGTCTGGGAGTGGGCAGCATCCGCCTGACGAGCTCCACCCGTGTCCCGTAGGAACACCACGGTACTTCCCACCAGAGAGGATCGCCTGCCGCTGCTACTCTGGGCGGTCAGCCACCATCTGGTCCCTGGGCATCCTGCTGTGTGGCATGGTCTGCGGAGAGTTTCCTTTCGGCACCGAGGAGGAAATTGTCCGGGCCCGGCTCTCCTTCCCGCCGCGGGTGTCTCCAGGTGGGTACATGGCACAGGGGGAACCCTGGTGTTGGGAGATTGCAGGTGGCACAGAAGCATCCCGTTCTTGCAGCTCCTGGGGAGGTTAATCTCCCAGACTTAGCTGAAGAAGGTAGTACACGTCCCTCCATCCTGCTCTCCTCCAACACGGAGAATGGACTGGGAGGTTTGGGCTCAGCTCTGAGCACACCCAGCGTGGCCTGGGCACTGCAGATGGTGAGGGGGGAGACAGGAACAGCCTTTTCCCACTGACCCTCGCTTTCTGGTCTCTCTCCCCAGAGTGCCAGCACCTCGTCAGATGGTACTTGTCCAGGCAGCCCTCCCACAGGCCATCATTGGAGGACCTTTTCAGGCATTCTTGGCTGCAGGCTCTCCCCCAGGCCCAGGAGACAGCACAGATCATTCCCCCACACAGTAGGATCCGGGACCCCGGCAAGTACCAGCTCTGAGCATCTCATCATGGCATTAAGCAGCCAAGAAAACCAGGCTGGTTTTTCCCTGCAATGAAAGCACCGAGTAGGGATCTCAGCTGAGGAGATGCTTCCGTGGGCCCTGGGGGCAGTTACAGAGGAAGTGGCTAAGCACTCTCCATCGTGTTTGAAGAGTCGTGGCAGTCTGGTGAAGTTCCCAGAGGCTGGAAAAGGGGCAACATCCCCCTCGCAGCCCAATGGCATCGTGGTGCCCCTGCAAGCCGGGGCACAGCTGTGGCGTCCTGCAGCGCAGCCTCAAGCTGGAGAACACCATCCTCGACCCCTCCAGCGTCGGGGCGAAGCCGATTGGCTTTGATTGGGGCACCTTCCTCGAGGACACACTGCAGCCAGGTGGAATCAAGATGAGTCCACACCCGGTGGGGGGTGGGGGGCTGTGCAGGGATGCCCCCGGCGCCAGGCATCGCGGGGCCCAGCCTGGCCGGGCAGAGGAGGTCCCCTGCCTTGCTGTGGGGGTGGGAATAGTTCCTCAGCGGCTGCCAAGTTGCTTTCTGGTGGGGCAGGAGTGGGTGTTGTGCAGTGGGAGCTCATGGCCTTGCTGACAGCTTCCAACCCGCAGCCTGGCCTGGGCTGGGGAGGGGGAAGCCTTCCCGACAAAAACATCCCCCCCGGAGGTGGCAGGGGGGCAGTTCCGAAGCCGAGCGCTGCTTTGCTTGGCAGGGCCGGGCTGGGGGAGGGACGGGCAGGTTTTTCCCCAGCCATGGGCAGGTTGATTCCTTGCCTGGAGCGGTCAGGCCTTCCCGGGCCCGTGATTCGGCCATACCAGTTTACCCTTTTATTTCTTTCCAGGTTTTGTTTTTAATTTACTTTCATGCATTTGTTATTTGTTTTTTTGAGGGAAGATTCTGCCTGGTGCCTGGATGGGATTCGGAAGTGCTGGGACCGTCTGA